GTTTTTTTTTTTTTTTTTTTTTTTTTTGGTACCAGGGATCGAACTCGTCTTTGCGCTTGCCAGGCAGGCACCAGAACCACTGAGCTAAATCCCCGGGCCATGGAAGGTATTTTAAAGAGTATAGCCAGGCACTCTGGGAGGCTGAGGCAGGAGTGTCACAAGTTCAAGCCCAACTTGGGCAATTTACTGACTTAGCCAGACCCTATTTTAAAATAAATAAAAAGGGCTGGGCCCAGGCATGGAGGTGCACGCCTGTAATCCCAGCACTCGGAAGACTGAGACAGAAGAATCACTGTGAGTTGAGACCAGCCTGGGCTACTTAGTGAGTTCCAGGTCAGTCTCGACTACATTGTGAGACCCTGTCTGTAAAAACAAAAAAATAGAAATAGAAAGGGCTGGGTATTGTGGCTCAGTGTGAAGACCTTAGGTTCAGCCCCCAGTACTTTCCCAAAAAAGTGAAAATGGAGCTCAGCTGGGGGATTGGTTCTGAGTCAGCATCTGTGGCAAACAGTTAAGGCAGAATTTGAACCCAGGTCTCTGCTGCTTTTCTCCACTCCATACTGCCCACCGTGGGCTGTAGCACTGGGCTCCTTTCTTGCTATTAAATGAGAAAGATGGCTCCCCCAGCTCCTCCCTACCCAGTACACAGTGGCTTGGGTGACCCCGAGGAAGGGGGTCCTCCCTGGCTCTCAGACACTAGAGGTCTGTGGGATCAGAGCCGGGAACAGGTAGAAGCAGATGCCGCTCAAGTCTTAGCTTGTCCTGGGCAGGTAATTTGGTGCTTAATGTTTCTGATTTTTTTTCTTTGCCCAGTAGGTAATCTTTTCCTAGTTAGTAATCATTGGACTATAAATATAAGGGCAAAAAATGCCTTTTTTAATCTCAGAATTCTTGATAGAATGCTTCTTGGAGGCATGCAGGGAAATCTAGACATTTTCTCAGAGTTTACTGTTCCAGAATTTACCTAATAATTCCCATTTCTGAGTTGGTGAATTTTCACTTTATATAATTGGAGTTCAGGGTTGCTGTCTGCTTGACTGTACCGAGGCAGACTCAAGCTGTCCAGTTTCCTGGCTAGAAGGTGTCAAGAGAGGATGTCCACAGAAGATGAGCGGTGTGGGTGTGGGGATAAGTTTGTCTCCTCTGGCCAGGTGGCTTTCCAGACCTGGCTCCCATTCGCTGTCTGTGTCCCTGGGTAGATTTCCAAGCTTTCGTTCCAAGCTTCAGTTTACTCATACACAAACTGAGGTCCTCACATCACAGCCCTGGATTGTAATCAACAAGAAGTGAGACTGTGAGCGCACTCATTACACAGGACGTGACTTGGCCATGGGTGGTGGAGGTGGCTTTTTAAGTAGAAAGCAGGGTCAATCAAAAGCTTCCTCAAGTTTCAAGGATGTGAGAATTAAATGCAGGCTACTTTTTCTAAGTCATTCAACATTAGTGACTTTGTACTCATTAAATGACCTCGAAAAAAATAAAGGTCTTCAGCTGGTCGTGGTGGCACGTGCCTGTTATCCCAGCACTTGGGAGGCTGAGGCAGGAGGATCACTGTGAGTTCCAGACCAGCCTGGGTTGCATAGTGAGTTCCAGTTCAGTCTCAACTACACAGGGAGACCCTGTCTCAAAAAAAAAAAAAGTCTTCAGTCAGCTAAAAAAATTTCTTTGGCAGGTGGGTGACGGGCCACACATGTCTCCTGTATTCCTGTGGTCTGACCCAGCCTCCCCTTGCTTTCCAGGTTCTACCTTGGCTGCACGGGTTTCCCAGAATGCCGGCTGGCCATGTGGTTTCCCGACTCAGTGCTGGAGGTCAGCAGGGATGGGAGCGTATGTCCAGTTTGTCAACCGGCCCCTGTGTACAGGTGAGCTGAGCACCTCTTAAGGGTTGTACCTCAAACCATCTTTCCCTTCCTCCCGCAGAAATCTGCGTCGGGCATCCTGGGATTGCCGTCCTCGGGCCCTGCATTGTTTCAGCGGCTTCCTAGGCAGCCAGCCCAATCCTGCTCTGCTGTTTTCATTATAGCCCAGTCTGAGGGGAGCTTCCTGCATCCTTCCCCTCTCCAGGCAGATCGTTCAGCACTGGGCTCAGGAAATTCTTCACGTATTAAATATGGTGTCCAGACTCCTGCAAAAAGCCCAGAGGCCCAGTCTAGGACAGTGGTTCTCAAACCTCTTGCTCCCTGGAGCACTCACACACTAAGAAATCATTGAGAAGTCCAAAAAGCTTGTGTTTGTGGGTAATGTTTTTCAGTATGTGCTGTATATGAAGTTAAAGTGGAGACATCTTTTAAAATATTTATTTAGCTGGGAATTTAGCTCAGTGGTTCTACCGCCTGCTTTGCAAGCACAAGGTCCTAAGTTCAGTTCCCAGTACCAAAGTATTTTTTTAAATTTTTATTTATATATAGAAATTCATTGCTTACTAATATAAATGTTTTAAATGACTTAGGGCAAAATACCTAATTTCCAAAGCAAAATACTATATTACCAATGAAAAAAATGACATTGCTTTACACTGTTGCGAGACTAAATTCCTGTCCGTCCCTTCAGTCAGCACTGCATGTGTTGTCACCTCTGGAAAACTACTGTACATGAATAGAAGAATGTGAGTAAGCTAGACGTAGCTTTTTAGTATTCTTAGCTTCCATCTCACCTCGAAGGGCTCTAGAACCACACTTTGGAAACCACTGGTGTAGAGAAATGGACCTTTCAGCATATATATAAGGGTGATGAATCAGGTGACTTCATATACTCTGCTTCCCACTCTGCACTCCTGTGACATTGGTATAGACCTCATGGTTGGCTGGTCAGGGCCCTTCGCATGGGCTTCCTTAGGATGTGAAGGGATGGCTTGGGGCTGGAGCACCCTCTGTGGACCAAGGAGAAGACGCTCAGCAGGTGGTAATGTTTTGTCTCATCTTCTGGCCTCACTAGGTTGAAGTTCAAATTCAAGCGTGGGAGCCTTCCCCCAACCATGCCCCTGGAGTTTGTGGGCTGCATTGGTGGATGTGATGAGACCCTGAAGGAGATCCTTGGTCTGCGGTTTTCACGGGGCCCTCCCAGAAACAGCCAGCCCTCTGGCCACCTGCAGGCTAGCCAGTCAGTGAACAGGATGGACAGCAGCCACTCCCAGCCTCCAGGGAGTAGACAGATCAGACCCTCTCAGGCTCAGGCCCAGACCCTCCTGCCTGCTGCTGCCACTGGTGAGAGCAACTCTGTGACTTGCAACTGTGGCCAGGAAGCTGTGCTGCTCACCGTCCGCAAGGGGGGCCCTAACCAGGGTCGGCAGTTCTACAAGTGCAACACTGGTAGCTGCAACTTCTTCCTCTGGGCCGATGGCGGCCATCCTGGAACAGGAGGAGCCCCTGCCTCTACAACAAGACCCCCGGGCGGCTCACTTGGACGCCCACCAGGCTCAGGCCACCACTCTTATGGCTTCAGTGATGCTGGTGATGGCAGTGGTAGCAGCACATCCTGCCTGTGCAGTCACCCTGCTGTCACAAGAACAGTGCAGAAGGATGGTCCCAATAAAGGGCGCCAGTTCCACACGTGTGCCAAGCCACGGGAACAGCAGTGTGGCTTCTTTCAGTGGGCTGATGAGAACGTGGCCCCAGGTAAGGCGGCAGAGCACGTAGGACCTCTTAAGTTTCCACCTCACAGACCAGAGATGACGGAAAGAAGGCAGGACATTACAGTAGGGAGATTGCAAAGGGCTTCCATCTGTCTCGCTCCTCTATTTCCTCACTGGCCATTTTCAGCAAAGCAGTGAGCCACTGCCTTCATTCCAAATTAAAGAACACCTGCCATTAATTGGTGCTTTCTCTGTGGCCAACATAGAACCTACACAGTGACAATCCCAGAGAGCCGAGGGTAGCATAAAGTGGTAGGCATGTTGTATTTTGACATGGAGCTGTCCTTCTTAGAGAAGAGGAAATGTAACCTATATGCCCCCTGTATTTCTTGCCGCTTCCTTGTGGATGTCAGTTCTAAATTCAGCCTTCCTCTTAACTTTTCCCACAGGGACTTTCGCAGCCCAACCTTGGCCAGGAGACAAGAGCAAAAGACCCCGGACCAGTTCCTCAGATTCGGGGTCCACAGCAAAGAAAGTACGGAAATGCAGTCTTTGCCACCAGCCCGGACACACCCGGCCCTTCTGTCCTCAGAATAGATGAAGGCAGTATAGGGTAGAGGGCCACTTTCTCAGTCTGGAGATTGAGTTAACTAGGACTCGCTGGCTGTTCACTGAGTTCCTAGAAACTGAGGAGGATGTTGGGTTTTGGAGTTGGGCTTTTCTTTGTTAAGGAGAACAAGTTTTAGACCACCCTCAAGAAGATTGGCTCTGCCGGACAGTGTCGCTCTGCCCAGGGCTCAATGACCACAGCGACTGCTGAGAAGTCACACTGCTGCCCTGTGACACAACACACACACACACACCCCATAAAGATGGTTGCTGGTAACGTGGTGGTGAGGCTGCTAGCGGAAGACATAACCATTGGTGGCTGTGAACCACAGCTGTGCCCCGCTGCACTGCAAATCAAGAAGCACCCAGGGTTTTCTGAGTGAGGAGCAACACTTCTCTCAGGTTCTGAGCAGCCTGGATGGGGCTTCTGTCACAGCCGTACTGGGGAGTGGCTCTCCTAATATCAGATCTGCAGGAGAAGCTTCACTTCCGTTTCACCTAAAAGCCAAGGATCCCCTAAGTCATGTGCCTTAGCAAAGAATGTATATTACTCTGACAAGTGACAGTGCAGCATAGTGTCTGGTGACATTTGCAGGGGCGACAGCATCTCTGACAGCCTGTAGTGGAGGAGCACTCACCAGCACCTCCTGATGGCCCCTTCTGGTCCAGCCCTTCCTCCCTGCCATGTGGTGAGTGCCGAGCCCAATTTGTGGACTCCCTAGTTTGTCAGTTGGCACAGAATTGCCAGTGCAGTACTCAGAACACTGACCATCCATCTGCCCTTGCCCGAGATGCACTGACTGTTGCCCTGTGAATAATACATAGTTGACTGGCTCTGTTTTACAGTTCTGAAGAGAAGCAGGAATGGTCACAGTGGCAGTTAACAAAAAAATTGATCTCGGGACCCGGGACTGCAAGCCTCTGCCCTTCATTAGATCAGCGCTCGATTGTGCTGGCTGGGTGTCAGGCAGTAGAGCTCTCGGAGTATGGGTTTCTGGCCTTGTTTCTAGCGCAGCCTGGTCAGCAGGTATGGGTCCCAGCCTGTGATGCTGGGTTTTCTCAGATCCTGGCAACCACCTCCCTACTGTTTGTTTCTACAGGTTTACCTGTTCTGGACATTTTTTATCAATAGAATCATACAGTACATGACCTGTGTCTGGCTTTGTCGCTTAGCATGATGTTGATAAGGGTCATCCACCTTGGAGCATGGCTCAGCACTTTATTTTTATGGCTGAATAATTTTTACTGTGTGTATACGGCAGTCTCCCTTATTTGTGGGGAATACACTTGAGGACTCCCAGTAGATCCCTGAAACTTAGAGCGCACTGAAGCCCGTACACAGTATACGTTTTTTTCATTAACATACCTGTGATACAGTTTCATTTATAAGTTAGTCATGGTGCCACCCTGCTTTGGAGCTAGTTGATTGTGGACTAAACTAAAACTTCTACAAACTGAGTCAAATAAACCCTTTCCCCTTTAAAAAAAAAAAAATGAGGGCTGGGGATTTAGCTCAGTGGTTTCACCACCTGTCTCACAAGTGCAAGGTCCTGAGTTCAATCCCTGGTACCAAAAACAAAAATATGTGTGTGTTAGGCATAGTGAGAAATTAAAAACAGGCTGGGGGTGTTGGTTTGATCCCCAGCACCAAAAACTAAAAAAATTTGACATTGAAATAGAATAATTATAACAATACACTTAATAGGTTATGTGAATGCGGTCACTCTTGAGAGAATCAAGACAATGTTTTTGGGCCATGGTGGACCACACATAACTTAGGTCCTAAGTTAGGCTTGTCAGTTGGTCATTTGAGTTTCTACATTTCAGCAGTTGTGAATAGTGCTGCTATGAATATTTGACTGCTTGTTTTCAGTCATTTGGGGTATATGATGAGGACTGAAATGGCTGTATCATTTAGTAACCCTGTTTTAATTTTTGGGGAACCTCCAAACTTCCACAGTGGCTGCACCATTTTACAGTCTCAGCAGTGACATGCAAGGATAACTCATTTCTCCGTGTCCTCGTCTACACTTTATTTTCTCCTTGTCAGTGCTTGTTATTTTGCTTTTGTTCTAATTGGTTTGGTTTGGTTTGGTTTGGTTTTGTAGTACTGGAGGTTGAACCCAGGGCTTTGAACACAGACTAAAGCAAGCACTCCACCTCTGAGCCACACCCCCAACCCTTTTTATCTTACGTGCCCCCAGCCCTTTTTTTCCTCTCTTTTCTTTTTTCTTTTCCTTTTGTTTTTGTTTTTTGCTGTAGGCTCTTGCTAATTTGCCCAGGCTAGCCTGGAACTTGAAGTCCTGCCTCAGCCTCTCAACAAAAGTAGCAGGAATTACAGGCATGCCCCATTACAAGTGGCTTTCTTTTTAATACGCATGTTCCAGGGCGTGATGTCACATCTTTTTTTTTTTTTTCCAGTTTTTTGAGACAGGGTTTTGCTATGTAGTCCACACTGACCTCGAGCTCACTACTAGCCGAGGATAGCCTTAAACTTGCTGTCTCCCTGCCTCAGCTTCCCAGAGTACTGGGATTACAGTGTACACCATCATACTCACTGTGAAGGTGCAGCCTGATTGATTTGATTTTCATTTCCTCAATGGCACTGACCATCTTTGCATGTGCCTAGTGGCCATTTGTATACATTCTTTGGGAAAGTTCCGTTAAGTTTGTTTCAGGAAAACCCAGTGTACGAGAACCAGCCACCAAAGGTGGAAAGTGCTGAAAGACCAAAGAGCAAATCCAAAATTATGCAGGATTGTACAGGTTGGTTTTATTAGGGATAGAATCATAGGGTAGCAGCAAAACAGGTGGATCCTGGGCCGGGGATTTAGCTCAGTGGTTCTGTCCCCTGCCTTGCAAGCGCAAGGACCTGAGTTCGATCCCTAGTACCAAAAAACAAAATAGGTGGATCCCCTCACAAGGCAGGAGAAAGAGGTTTATATGTAAAGTAAGTAGACAAAGGTGGACTTCAACCACCACATATACCTGGGTTTTTCAGACTGTTACCAGTAGTAAGTCCAAGCTGGGAGTGCTGGCACATGCCTGTAATTGTACTACTCCAGGAAACTGAGGCGGAAGGATGGCAGGTTTAAGTCCTGCCTAGACTGCTTAAGTTAGAACGACCCTGTCTCAAAAATGAGCTCTTAGCAGGTGGCTGTGGCTGCAGTGTAGCCGTTGCTATGGTGGCTTCAGGGCTGCGTGGGTGACTGGTGGGTGAGGAAGGGACCCAGCACCCTGGCCACCTCCTCACAGCATTTCAAGAAGCTCCTTGAGATCTTCCACGGCCTCCATGAAGCCCACAGGGAGGGGGTGTGTCCGAGCAGTTACTGGAGAGCAGCAAGCAATTGTTTTTTTTTTTTTTTTTT